GGGGGGGGGGGGGTTGCACACACGTGCAAGGTGAGCAACGGATTGTTCGGTGCGCGCGGTGTTCTGTTTGTCACCTTGGTGAGATCGTGTGTGCCATCCCCATCACACACGAGCATCAACCGGCCCAGCCCGCGACACACCACCTGCAGCCATGCACCAGCGCCCGCATCAGCACAATGCAATCCACATTCTTCTCCTAAACCAACCCGGTCGGCGCTCCCGAGCTCCTTGACGCCCTCCACTTCGCCCTTGCCCAACACGCCCGCATAAACGCTCCAATACCAGTCCATGAGCGCCGCCCCATCGGGCCACATGGCCTTGACCGCTGCCTTCATGAGACCACGGTCAGCCGGCCTGTCGACCAGGCGGTCAGGCAGGGAGGCAAAGAGGGCCACTGCTGTGGCGGGTGTGACCGAGCCGGGTGCCGTGTGGTTGGCGAGGATGCGTAGGAGGATGGAGTAGAGGGTGGGGCGCATGGCCACCGCGGCTTCTCGCATCTGGCGGGACGGCAGCTGACTGACCGGCCCTTTCACGTGCTCCTCCCTGAGCACACCGACACACAGCCAGACAGACAGCCGAATCAGCGGGGAGAGGGGAACGTTCGAGAGACCCACTTGAGTGTCCTCGGTGTGCGGCCGTCGTCAGTCGGCAGGTCGGCCAGCACCTCGAGGAACAGCCGAAGAGGCGTCGCGTTGACCACATTGGCCACCACAAAAGACAGATAGCGGGGCACGGCGAAATGAGGGTCCGGATGGGCCTTCAGCGTCTCGTGCACGAAGAGCCTCACGCTCCTTTCCATCGCCGGCGCCTCCACACGCGACGCAAAAAGGCCAGGGTCCGCCAGGGCCACCAGCAGACGGTCAAATAGAAAGCTATCGGTGAATCGGAAGCCGCCCTTGTCCTCGGCTGTGGCCATGGTGTCCATCAGCGACGTGAGGACGAACTTAGTCACATTGCCGTTCTCATGTGTGAGGGCCCGCAGCACCAGACACTCCACCCACAGCGGCTGCATCGATGTCAAAGGGGTGGAGTCGGGCATGCTGCTGCCGCACAGCCGCATGAGAGCCTTGAAGCGGGGCGGCCACTGGGTCTTCACCAGGTGCGCGGCGTACTCTTCCAGCACATCCATCAGACCGAAGAAATCCGCCCACCCGTCCTTTCGACCCCCCTCCTCTCCTCGCGCCAGCAGCCTCTGAAGCATCATCTTGGCGCGCTTCCGCGTGATCGATTCTGTGTCCGCCAATCCCCTCACAATGGCAGCCCATCGGCAATCTGACGCATGGGCGAGAGGCAGCGATCGAGGCGAGAAGAGGTGGCCGAAGCAAGCCACGGCAAAGGCGTACGAGGACTGGGTGTGCCGTACTGATGAGAAGAGCAGCAGGGCGGTGTCGGGTGCTGATGGCGATGCGTCAAGGACAGGCGGCGCTAGGGTGAGCAACAGCCGGAGAGGTGCGGGGATGTCAAGCCTCGTCGGGTGCGATGGAATGGGGGGCGGCGCGGAGCCGGCGAGGGACACCAGCAGAGGGGTCAGCGCCGCAACAGCCGCCGACAACCGTTGCTGTCGGTTGGTCTCCCACAGTTGTGTCAGATAGCAAGTCACCAGTTCACCCAAAGCGACAGCCGACACCGTCCCCTCTGACCGATCGCCATCCTCATCATCGCCGTCCGCATTTGCCGCCTTCTCAGCCTCACGCACAATGACGTCCTCCAGCGGGAGTTCATCAGAAGAGAGGCTGGCAGCGAGGCGACAGACGGAGGGATGGATGCTGCTGAGGTTGCTGCACCGCAGGATGGCGACACATGTGGTCGATATGAACGGCTGGACGGCAGCCTGCACGCTCGTGTCGTCCTCGGTGTTCGCCTGGCTGATCAGGTAGGCGAATGCCCGAACCAGGAGAAGCACATGCCGCTTGTCCAATGAGCTCACACCAGCCTGATTGCCACAAGCAAATAGGAGCCATATCAAATCTCACTGAGTGCGTGCATCGTGCAGTCACCTGCGTGATCTCCGTGTTGATCTGCGCCGCCAGCTGCAGGGCCCGCCTCGCCGTCAGCTGCTGGCCCGCTGCCTCACCGGAAGATGCTGACGATGGGACAAGAACGAGGGGCCCAAAGTGCTGCAGCAGCTGGTCTATCATCGACTCGGTGACGCTGTCTTCCGGCAGATCTGCCACGAAGCTCTTGACGCGCGAGATCCCATCCACCATGGTGGTGCGCGGAAGATGAATCAATCGCTCGAATCAAGCATGGGGATCAGCCAAGCATCAAGCACTGACACTGCACACGCCAGAACACGGAGATTTCTTCCGCAGCTGTGAGCTAAGCTCGCAGCAAGACTCCAAGCTCGCAAAACGCTGCCAAGGTTTCGTTTGGATAGTCATGGGTTCCCGCGAGCGGCGTTCGAGGCCCCGCTCGCCGATTCGTCGAGGTCGCGATGAGCGGGACGACTTCAGAGGCTATAGAGATGACAGAGGACGAGACAGGTCAGTGGAAGGATGAGCCAGCGGACAAAGGCCGTGTGTGACTCTCCGACTGTGTGTTGCTACAGGCGTCGCAGCCGTAGCCGTGACGCCTCGCCGGGAGGATACAGCAACACATCACCCAGGTGCGCGAGGAGAAGGAGGCAGAAACAAACAACACACACACATGGTTCCGTCAATCGTGTCCACATGCCGTTTGGCGCCTCTGCGCAGGATGAATGGGTATGGTGGTGGTGTGCCTCGTGAGTTTGGTCGTGGCGGCAGTGGGAGGGAGGAGGACGCCCGCCGGTACATTCCATACGGACCCAACGTGGACAAGTGAGTACCTCACACACGAGGGATGGCAGAGGAAAGGAACGACGCTGGGATGCGATCGACGCGGTGCCTCTCTCTCTCGTGTGTGTGTGTGTGTGTGTGTGTTCAGGGAGACCTGGGCGAAGAATGAGGAGTGGCTCAAATCGTACGCTCACACACACACACACACACACACACACAAGAAAGAAAAGGAATTGTCATTCATCTCCTCTCTGCTTGACACCTGTGTGTTGGTCGATGTGTGGGTGTGTGTGTGTGTTCAGTCGCAATGAGGAGCGTCGCCGCGCCCCGTTCGACATCCGCTCCATCTGGCGGCAGTCAGAGTCACGCTCACCCTCGCCAGAAGGAAACGCCCCGCTCTCACGGTATGTCTGAACGCCCACACACCTATGAAGACGGCAGCTGCCTTTCCTTTGCCTGATATCCCTTCCCTCCTCTGTGTGCGTGTGTCGTGTCAGTGAGGAGGAGGCTCGCGAGGCCAAGTGGAAGGCCCGCATGGCCGAGATAGTTGCCAAGGACGCCAAGGACAACCAGCGGACTATCGAGACCGACAAAGTGACCGGCGAGCACATCCTCTTCCCAATGAGAGACAAACCCAAGAAGGTACCCACCGTCGCATCACATCACACCACATGACCACACACACATCGACGTGCACACACCTTTCTTTCCACTGTGTGTGTTGATACCACCAGAGTGGCGGGGCGTCGTCTGACTGGCTGGAGAAGAAGCCCCCCGGTGCTGAGGACTTTGGCGCCATCGAGAAGGAGGCCGAGAAGCGCCTCAAGAAGTGGCAGAAGAAGGATCAGGAGCGGGAGAGAAAACGCAAAAGTGAGCACACCACAGCACCACCACACCGCTACAAGCTCGAGAGCGGCGTAAGCCATTTTGGGTGCTTTGTTTTCAGAGCGTCGTGGGGAGGACAGTGAGAGCGATTCTGAGAGTGACGCCAGCAGCGAGGAGAGCGACTCGGAAGACGACAAGCGGCGAAAAAGTAAGCACGCCCCACACCACCACCCACCCAACTCACACACATGCCTCGCCCTACCTCTCTCTCTCAGAGCGGCGTCGCAAGGACAGGTCGAAGCGCCGTGACAAGAGGAGCAAGCGCTCGTCCAAGGACAAGGACAAGGGCAAGGACCGCCATAGGGGCACGAAGCGCCGCAGCAAGAGGCGCGACGAGGAGAGCGAGAGTGAGAGCGACAGCAGCAGCCGCTCGGACAGCAAGGAGGAGAAGGAGGCCAAGAAGGCCAGCGTCAAGGATGAGGGTGGTGCTGGTGGTGGTGGCGAGGAGGTCGACACCCTCGCCCTCATCCGCGAAGGCAAATTCGTCGAAAAGACAGGTATGTGCGCTCACACCATCACACAAGCACCCCTGCGCCTTTTCTAGTCTCTGTGTGTGTTCAGCCGAGCCGGCCCCGCCAGCTGCCCCAGCAGCGTCAGCGGCAGCCGCCGCCCCTGCATCGGCAGCAGCAGCAGGTGATGCGGGTGCGGCTGACGGGACCATGGACAACGGTCTCCCCACTGCGTTTGAGGATGAGGATGAGTTCCTCCCCGGCCCCCAGCCGCTGCAGGCCAACGTCAAACTCCAGCAGCAGAACCTCGAGTAGGACATGACGACAATCACACACACGAACGGCCCCTGAACAGGGGGGCCTCACGCCTGTGTGTGTGTGTGTGTGTGGTGCAGCTATGGTGGTGCATTGCGTCCTGGTGAGGGTGAGGCCATCGCTCAGTTCGTGCAGGCCGGCAAGCGTATCCCTCGTCGCGGTGAGGTCGGCCTCACCGCTGACGAAATCGAAAACTTCGAGACCCTCGGCTACGTTATGAGCGGATCACGGTGCGCAGACACACCCACCCACCCACCCACCCACACACGTGGCACGTGTGCATGACCTTCTCTCTCTCTGTGTGTGTGTGTGTGTGTGTGTAGACACCGTCGCATGAACGCTATCCGTATCCGAAAGGAGAACCAGGTGTACAGTGCGGAGGAGCAGCGTGCGCTGGCCATGTACAACTACGAGGAGAAGGCCAACCGCGAGACACAACTCATCGCCGACCTACGAGAAATGCTCAGTAAGCACTCTCGACCCCCCACACACACAACACGGCGCACAGAGAGAGGTCGAATAGCGAGCGGCGCCGACCCACTCATCCGTGTGTGTGTTGGTGTGTTGGTTTGTGTGTGTGATGGTGGCCTCTCAGAGAAGCAGAACGAGCAGGTGTTTGTGGAGGACATTGAGGGCAAGTTTGCTTCCTCGGGCGAGCAGAAGAAGTTCGTGTGATCTGATCACCTCCTGGGGCTGTGGCAAAAGTGTTGGGCGGGAGGATTGGGGGCATTTTTCGTGCATGCGTGGGGTGCACTGCGTTTCAAATGCACTCGTACGTGGATCCATCCAGCGGACCTCCTGTGTGGTCCGTATGTGGTGATCGGGACGGTTCGTTCATTTCTGCCTTGCCTTGATGGCATCGATAACGCGCATCTACGCTACGCATCATCGCCTTTGTTCTGCCGTGTCAATCCACACACACACACACATGCACCACGAGCCAAGACATCACACGCATATTGACTCGCATAAAGAGAGAGACCACCCTCATCGAATGCAGCCGTTCGTTTGAGCACTGGCCGATCTCCTGAAACAGGCCGCAACGATGGTGACGCCGCTGGCAACACAGGAGCGTCACTTTCGTTACAGCCTGATTCACTAGATCGACCAATGCAGCACGAACGCATCCACTCAGCAATCAACCGGGTCAGGGGTGTCTAGGTATAGGTATTCTCTTGCATATTGTGTATAAGGCTGTCGCTTGCGTGGCCTCACCATACCAGTGTGCGCGCCTCAGCCGAGACCCTCCAACCCCCTGCACACACCAAGAGGGGAAACCTGGTGCACAGGACGTCGGCTGGCCGCGGACCAAGCAGCAGACAGGGATGAGCGCAAGCCACGCGTTCACAGACGACGACGCCAATCAGCAGCAGACAGGGATGAGAGCGCAAGACAAGAAAAATGCCAACGGATCGCATGGACAATGGAAAAAGACAGAGTGACGCCTGGGGTGGTAGAGGGAAGAAGCATCAGACGCACACGCAGAGAGACAGAGAGAGAGAGAGAGAGGCAGGCAGGCAGGTACATACACATCCACCACACACGCAAACACGGCGCTGTCTTAAAATGGCCGACCGTCTCCATCGGTCTCTCCCGTCTCCTACAACAACATTTCACTACTACAAAGCTACAGAGGGTCGGAAAAACGTCTTGGCAGCTCTACGCAACGGTGCACTGCACCGCAGCCGGCCGGCCGGCCAGGCAGCAGATGGAAAAGGAAAGTGACAGACAGACAGGTGAAAGATGACGCAGCCAGCCACGCAGATACGCCGAACGAATGGTGTGTGTCGGTCTCGCGCGCACACGGCAGCGTGGTAGCTGCCCGCCTGGACACACACACACGCACATACACACGCGACACGCGATGAACAATTCCATCCATCCATCCATCCATTCACCTGTGAGTTGTGTCGATAGGCCATCACATGCCGGGGAAGCCGCCAGGGAAGCCGCCCGGCATGCCGCCACCAGGCATCCCGCCTGGCATGCCGCCCGGCATCCCGCCGCCGGGCATGCCACCGCCGCCCATCCCGCCGCCGAACTTGCCCATGAGCTTCTGGAACACCTTCTGGAAGGCCGGGTCGCTCATGTACTGTCATGTCAACACACACACACCATCCCCACACGAGATGTGTGTGAGTGTGTGGAGGGGGGGGGGAGGGCCTTGACTGACCTCCATCATCTTGCCGGGGTTCTTCTGCACCTCCTCCAGCTTCTTGGCCAGCTGATAGATCACACACACACACAAACCGCACCAGCGGATGGAGGGGTGCCATGACGTGCTTTGTACGCATGTGCCATGTGTGCACTGAACACACTTACCGAGGGGTCTTTGGTGATTTCCTCCGCGATCTCAGGGTCCCGCAGCAAAGTCTGCACGAAGTTCATGGGGTTCCCACCACCACCACCACCAGGCATCCCGCCCGCACCAGCACCAGGCATACCTGCCCCACACCACCCCACACCAACAGACAGACACACAGGTGTTGTCGAAGAGAAGACAGTGTGTCGTCTGTGCCGACCGACCTACCCGAGAAGTCGAGGTCGGGCATGTCGTCGTCATCCTCTTGCACGTTGGCACGGCTCTTCTTCTGCTCCTCCTCCTGACGCTTCTGCTCCTCGTAGCTGAACCGCCCAGGAACAACACACGACACACACCATCCACACACGTGGCTGCTGTCGTCATTGGTGTGGTGTGGTGTGGTGTGTTGCGCGCACCGTCGCTGAGCCTCGGCCTTGCGGCGCCTCATCTCCTTCTCGCGCTTCTTGCGCTCCTTCTGCAGCCAGACAGGCACACAGACGAGGGCCTTGTCTGTGTGTTGTCCATGTGTGTATGTGGCTGTGTTGGCAGGTGCCGACCTCCTCCTGCTTGCGCTGCTTCATCCGTCGCTTATCGTCGAGTTTGGCGAACTTCTCGTCGACCAGCTTCTGCAACTCCCACACGCCCTCGTCGTAGTCAATCTGGAGAGCATTAGAAGCAGGCAGGACACAACACCGACGGCCTTGCTGCGTGCCTGCGTCTGCCTGTCTGTCCCTCACGCACCTTCTGGCCGAGGTCGAGGTCGCGATGGGCCTCCTCCCAGTGGCCCAAATAGCTGCGCGCACACACGCAGACACACGCAGACGGCCATTTCATCTCTGCCCACAGCTAATACATGTGCCTGTGGTTGGCTTGGCTTGGCTTGGCTGACCGGTATGCCTTTCCTCTGATGCGGTACGCCTTGCCGTTGTCGGGGTTGATCTTGAGGGCCTCGTCGCAGTCACGGATACACGCTGCACACATGGACACAGGCAGACACACATACACACAGATCGATCTCTCCCTCTCTCTCTCCCTCTGTGTGCGCGTGTGTGTGTGTGGTCAGAAAAAAAAGCGGCTTACCCATGGGTTTTTGGGCCTTGAGGAGGACGTCAGCTCGCTTGGTGTAGAGGAGGGCCGTGGGGTTGCCCATCTCAACCACCTCAGTCAACTTCAACACCGCCATCACGTAGTCACCGTTCTGACACACACAACACACACACGGAGAAACAGATGCCCCGGCTCCCGGGAGTTCCGCTGCGTGTCCGTTCTTTCTCACCTCGATGGCCTCCTGTGCGGCCTCCTTGAGGTCGCTGATCTTGGTGTACTGACCCAACACACACCACACCATACACAGACAGACAGAGGCATGCCCTCAATCCCCCGCACATGCGCCCGTGTCCTCCCTGCCCACCCCACCTGTTCGTCGGTGAACTCGACTTCCCCTGCAGGGGCCAGCGAAGGGAACTCACTCGACTCGTCAGGAGCCATCAGATCGGGGTCATCCTGACACATGCACACACACACACACACACATACGTGCGGGAGTCAAGTGCATTGAGGTGCGTGTGGATGGGACGGGGGGGGAGAAGGGGATGCGTGTCAGTGGTCGCGTACCTCCTCGGGTTCGTTCTCTTCGATCTCCTCGTCCTCCTCTTCCTCATCCTCCTCGGGCTCGTTGTCCTCCTCCATCCTCTCGGTGGTGGTGGTCGGCTTGCCGTTCTTCATCGGCTCATCTGGACAGCCACAACCACACACACATATATACACACAGACAGAGGGCAGCCATCCACACAATCAGCCTTCTAATGCACACCCTACCCTCATCGGCTTCTTCGACGTCGTCTTCCTTGCCCTCGGGCTTGGGCGGTATGGTGGCGCCGAGGCTCCGGAGGTAGTCGGTGAAGAACTGCAGCTTCGGCTCGTGCAGCACCTCGGGCGTCTGCTTCAGCAACGCAACGAAGTCCTTCAACGCAGCGACTGAAGCACACACACACAGCGGCAGAGGGACAGGACACGATAAGCCACAGACAAGGAGCGAGACACCCATCATCTTCCTGCCCAGGTGACACCGCCAGCCGGCACCTGGTCAACATGCGCCCTCTCCCTGTCTGCGTTGCTGCCTGTTTGTGTGTCGGTGGTGACATGACAGTCACATCTGTGCCGCGAGGAGCCCAGCCCTCCGTCGCCTGCGCTTTGTCTGCCTTGTGTGTGTCCCCTCTGCGCTCACTTTTGTTCGGGTCGATGCTCATGGTCTCGGACGAGCGGGGCATCAAGCGCAGAACAGATGATGAATCAGAAAGCTGGCAGAGAGCTCAGATCTCACACCACACAGAGGTGCTGGCCTCTCTGCAACACTTCTCCAACTTCCTACAAGTCGGCCGCGAGAAATGCGAGCTCAAAGTGGCCCATGTGTGCATCTGTTCGCGCCCTTTCTGATGCGGACAAGTCACGTCTGTATGTGTGTGGGTTTCGTACGCTAATGGGGATTGACTGGGAGTGGTTTTCGAGTGCATTTCGTAAGGCTGTCGGTACAATACAACACATGCGTGTCTGGAGGCCTCGTGTGTTCCGGCGTGTGCATGTCCCATTGATGTTGAATGACGTGGCACCGTTTCGTCAGGCTGTATTGTCGGTCACTCGCCTGCTACTCACTAATCTATCCACCTCCACTTCCATGTATCATGTTGAGGCTGCCTTTATCCCGTCGACGTGTCCATCTCTCACATCGCTCTACTACAATGCCAAGCGTGTGGCATCTCTTCCTATGCATGAAGTGTCGTGTCCATGCAGTCTGCCTGCATGTGGTGCGTTTCCCAAGCTAGATGGTCATGTGTGTGCGCGTCTTAGCCAGCCCCTCATGCGTGAGTTGCTTGGTGTGCCTCTTCATTGGAATCGAAACAGTACTTGCCTACCTTCTTTTTCCGCTATCACCCGTCAGTTCACTCGTATCGTCACACGCATCTTTCGTCGTATCTCTCAGCCAGTGCCACCCACCTCTATTTTGGACCTCTGTGCGCATGCGTCTCTTAAGCCAGTGTACGATCGGTTAGTTCAGACAGGTCAGTATGTACGTATTCATGATGTGTTGCGTCATGCATCCACACTTCGTCGTTTTGTTGCTGCACTTTTAGATAAGAGCAAGGGAGATATGGTTTGGATGTGTCCACTCATGTACATGCACGCCAACTGGCGCATACACCTGGCCAGTCCATCATATGTGCTGTCCACATGTAATGATGATGTGGTGCTCAATGACTTTTCACGTCTGCCTCATTTTCTTGACGGCCCTCGCATTGCCAAGCCTCGTGTGTCCCACACATGGGGCGTGGCTGTGTTTTGGCTGAAGATGAAGGCGTTTCGCGTAGGTTTGCATTCATGGGATGATATGAAATGGCGACCACTTAACTCATACTACAAGCATCGTTTTGCGCGTGTGTACAATGATGTCGGTCGCATTTTGAGTATGTGGAACGATTGGAGAGAGGATCACTTCTCCTGTATGCGCATTGGTTCACTTTTTGACGCCCTTGCATCTCACAATCGTTTCATTCATAGCCACGCTGTACTCAATGGCTGTGTGCTGTCATCGTCTACCGTGCATGTCCATGATATTGGTAATTTTTACCCTAGCTGCCCACGTGATGACTCACTTGATGCGTTGCGTGCGCTCCATGACTACACTATCGCCCACACCCGCTATCGTTTTGTCAATGTGCCTCGTGCTCCTGCCTGGCCGTCCATCCGTTCATCTTCGCGTCTCTATCCGGGTCTGTATGGCTTTATGCGCCGTACTACCAGCACTCGTGTCAAACCCTTCTTCAGCACTAACTGTAATTACTTTTCGTGTCGTACTTACACATTAGAGGATGTCCTTGATGTTGTGAAGCATGACTTGGCTTATAGTTACACATCGCTCAGTGGTCTGTTGCTGTATCAGCGTGAAGGGTTTGCACAGGGCAGTCAGCTCAGTCCAGGCCTAGCCAACATATTCGCTGCTCATCGTGAGCGACAATTTATCAATGGTCTATCGTCGGATGAGCGTGAGGCTTTTCGGTTCTGTTTCGTACGTAGATGGATGGACGATCGTCTGCTGGTCGTGCCACCACATGCGTGTCTGCCTGCCCGCCTGCATGATGCGTTGAATGCAGTTGTCGATCGCTTGCTGGTACCCACTTTCTATCATGACAAATGTGTGTTAGAGAAGGATGAGTCAGGTGCGTATGTTGGCTGCGATGTGCACACTGATGCGACACAAGTCACTCTCTCACAACACAACCCTAATGCCCACTTGCTTACTCCCTATTCCTCTCACACTGTATTGCCTTTCATTCGTTATGTTCATGCATGGTCGTCAATGTCTGCTGGTCGCAAGGCCCATCTCGTCTATAGCCACTTGCTACGTGTGCTCGATTACACGATGAAAGAAAAGGAGTGTCTGCTGCCGGCGCGGTTGCGTGACTGTCTTCATGAGTTGCGCTTGTTTGGGTATTCAGACAGGATGCTATCTCGTCAGCTATATCGTATCCTTCGCTTCTTCCCGTTTCTATCTTCTCTCGTAGAACTTGCTTCGTTCTTCTGATCGTGTCTGTTGTGTATCGCCGCATCCCGCGAGACTAATACCGCTGCGGTCAGCTGCCTTGACTCTTTTGCATGCTCAGCCAGTAGGCGTTTGCGATCTCATTCTTGGCAGACTTTGATACTCAATGGACGTGTGAGCGGTGTGAAGCACGTCAAACTCACAGATCTTGATGGAGGATGGGATTGAACTGAACGCATCGCCTTTGCGCCACGGGTGAGTGGTGCACACAGGACACAGATCTGCCGACTTGCAGCTCGTTATGTGCTGATCTGCCCTCTGCTTGTTGCAGGTTTGGCTGCTGGCTGAAGCGAACCCAATAGCATACGATGATGCCGCCTGGATGACGGCATCTGCGCAGCGATACTCCTCTAGGCGCTCTCGAGCGTTGCCGTCGTCAGTCGCGTTGATGGTGGCTCCTCTGGCCGCATTCATCTCTGCTGATGCAGCTGCTTTCCTTCCATCCAGCCACTGCCTTCTCGGGGCTTCCGGGCAAAGGCAGACAGGCGTCATCATGCGGAGGAGAGATTTCCCTCCAGTGCTGCAAGCACTTGTGCCGACGCAGGAGAGTCCAACGGGTCAGGATGACGTCAACGTGGGTGTGGAGCAGCTCGTGCGGCGGGGCATGAGCCGCTTCGCTGAGGGCAGGGTGCAGGATTCGCTGAAGGACTTCAACACGGCCATGGAGAGGAGGTGCGACGGGACAAACACAACATGGATGATCGATGCCATGTGTCGTGTTGTGTTGTGTTGTGTTCTGTCTGTCTGTCTGTCTGTCTGTCATTCATCGGCAGGCCTTCGTTGTCTCCCTTCTTGTGGCAGCGTGGGATTTCGTTATATTATGTGGGGGACTATGCCGAGGCGGCGGCACAGTTCAGGCGGGACGTGTCGGTCAACCCGAGCGACACAGAGGAGGTATGCAACCGTCGTCATGCTGGTTGGAGAGATGAAGAGGTGATGTGTGTGGTGTAGGCCATATGGGCCTTCTTATCTGAGAGCCGGCTATACGGTGACAGCCCGACCACTCACCGACAAGTCCTTGTGGCACCAATGGCTCTTTCAGGTACTGACAAGGCCCGAGAGTCCCTTCTCACCATAAATGGTGAAAGGCGGCCGCTCCTGCAGCTGGTCTACGAGTCGCTGCGGGATGGCGGGGATTCACCGCGGCTCGACCAGCTGAAACGCATTGCAGACACGCAGAGGGGCGGGGCGTCATTCTACGCCTCGCTGTACCTTGGGCTGCTATACGAGGCGATGGGCGACGTGGGCGAATCGCGCCGGTGGATTGTGAGGGCCGCCGAGTCGCCGTATGCGAGTGAGAAGAAGGGGGCAGAGTGAGGATGGGCACGTACACGGCTCTGGTGTGTGTGTGTTGCAGGTTCCGGTGACTACATGGGCGCGGTGGCGAAGGTGCACCGGATGGCACGGGGATGGTGGTGATGGAATGAGATGCGGGCGATGCAGCCGATGGATGACGTCGTGTGCAGTTAGTCGGCCGATGAGCTGAGGTTTGTTGTTTGAAGATGCATGGGGGTGGATTGCATTCATGGGTAGAGAGAGAGACATGGGTTTGTGTGTCATATGATCGATCATCAAGGCGATTGCGCGGGCGGACAAGATGAAGACACTCTCGTCAAATATAAAACGTAGGCAACGATAGACTCCTGCCTTCCCCTCCTACCTCCCCTCTCAAACCACCACCACCACCACGCACGCGTATCCTTGGCCTCTTCCTCATTCTCGTCGTCATCATCGACAACGAAGCCCGGGAGGGTGGGGCTGGGGGGATGGTGGGGGTACTGGGGAGGGGTCTGGAACGGATTGCCGTTGGCCGTGGGCATCATGGTCTGGTTGGGGGGTGTGCGGAACCCGCTCTCCTCGTCGAGCTCGTCATCGTCAATAATGCCCGAGTTGCCCATTCCCTGCCCCTCCCCAGCCCCCTTGCCGTCCTCACCATTCTCGTGCTCATCTCTATCGCGGCCGGGGCTTCCCGGGGGCGTCACGTCGGGGATGGCGACGCTACCAGCACCTGCTTGGCCACCTGCTTGGCCACCATCACCACCGGCATCTCTCCCGCTCTCTGTGTTGGGCGGCGGTGTCTCGTCACCCAGGCGGCTCGACAGACGTACCCGCTCTAGACGTGTCTGTGTGGACAAACAGTATCCATGAAGCGTCTTTTGTCTGTCATCCGTGGTCAACTGGTGGTGTCTATACCTTGTAGTGGTCCTCTAGAATGCGCGGGTCGTCGCCATCGATGACAACCCCGACGACACTGTCTCTCTCCCGCACTGCGAAGTTGCACTGGCCGTTGAATGCCGTCTCACAGACGTCGGGTTGCTCGTCGTACCGGCAGGTGAGACAGCACACGAGCCCAACCTGAGAAGGCCAAGACACACAGGGTGATCCATCCATCCAATACAGAACTACCAAGATAAACCTTGATGCATGCGTCCGTACCCCCACTATGTCGTCGCACCGCGCCCTCCCCGCAGCGACACCACGACGTATGGCGGCGAGGACGTCTTTGAAGTTGGAGTTGAGTGTGGCTGCGATTGTGAGCGGATAGAAACTCAGTTCCAGGGCCACCACCCCCTGCCTGTGTCTGTCCTCGATGGCCTCCGCAACCACGCGCTCAAGCACCTCCACCGAGTCTGCACATATTCATGAATAAGTCACGCCACACAGAATGACATACACAATAGGACGCAAACCCAGGGCTGGTTCGTGTGTGTGTGTGTGTGGACTGTGCGCACCGAGTATTTTCGCGATGCGATCAAACACCTCCCTGATGGTCTCGGTTTCCCTGTTGGTTTCGGTTTGGGGGTAGGCCTTGCTTGCCACCACCACCGCACTGGCCTTGGCCTCGCGCAACTCGTCGGCTGCACACACAGACACACACACAGACACAGCTCCCATTTCCTCACCTACCGTCTGTGTGCTGCTTGGGCCGATCTGGGTCCCCTCGTTGTGCAGCTGCCACCATCCGTCGAGCAGGAGAGACAAGGCACGGTCTTCGAATATAAAACGTAGACAGCGATCTGCAAAGAAGAGACATAAGCTGAGGCACTCTCGCCTGGCACACTGACGCCCTGTTCGTCTACCTGGAATGCGTCGACAAACGACACGGGCGCATTCCAGGTAGACGACGAATTCCACCATCTCGGTGAACTGGTGGTGGCCAGCACACAGATACGTGCAACAAACCAAACCAACCTACACACACAAGACACACAAAGAGAGAGAAGTTGGTACATGCGTGAATGTGTGTGTATGTGTATGTGTACCTCTATTTCATGGTTACATCGCCCTCGCCCTTCCTCCACACCCCTCTGGATGGCATCCAGGATGTCCGCCGCGGAATGGTCGTAGACACCGGTGAAATACGTGGGGCAGAAGCGGAGCTCCAGTGCCGTCACGCCATCCCTGTAGCGGTCCTCGATAGCCTCGGCCGTCACCTCCTGCACGACCTCCGGCGTATCTGCAGTATTAGATGCATGAATGCAGGCAGGGAAAAGGCATGGAGACAGGCGCTTAGTCTGGGAGGTAATATATATCTGTTGGCATATGTAATGAGCTCGTGTGCTTACCAAAGATGTCCGATAGGCGCCCGAGCTGGGCCCGGCAGCCGGGTCTTGTGCGTGTTCTTCACGTCCACGGTGAAGTAGTCCACCTGGTCCCTCTCGTTGTCTGGCAGAGGCAGCCCCAGCCGCCTGTAGTGTCTGATCAAACGCAGAGAGAGGGACAGAAAGGCAATAAGCAGAGCCTCTCCCAAGTGCATTTGTGTGCAACCGCACCGTACCGTATGGCCGTCTCGGGTCTCACGGAGCCCTCGAGGTTGCAGTGCAAGTCGGCCTTGGGGAGCCTTTTGAACCTGACAGAATGCCAGAGCACACAGACGTACAGCCAGGGAGTTGCATGCACCGTTTGTTGCATTTGGTCAGCATCCAATTGTCGCATGACAGCTGTACCAGGCAGATTGAGGGTCTTCCTCCTCAGCTTCTTCCAGTTCTCCCTCGTCAAAGATGATCCCTGGTCTCTCCTCCATCGCTTGGGCCAGCGACAGCGTCACAGAGCGACTCAACACGGAGCACTACTTTGAATCTTCCAGTTCTCCCTCTTGTAGAATATGCTGTGTAAGTCAGATTCCTCACCACTCTACCGCCAGGGCTGGGGACCTCGAAGTCCATCGTGAAGTGCTCAGCGAGCAGATGGCTTTTGGCCTCCTCGGAGATGAAGGAGTTGCAGATGCTCTCCCGGCAGAGCCCAACCAGCTGCCAGGCCGTTAAGCCTTCATGCAGGTGGAGGTTCCGGTAGGCAGCGGGCAGGTCCACGGCCAGCATGGCCGAAGCGTGCTGCTTGGGGCGATCTTGGTCTCCTCGTTGTGCAGCTGCTACCATCCGTCGAGCAGGAGAGACAAGACACGGTCTTCGAATATAAAACGTAGACAGCGATCTGCAGAGAAGAGACATAAGCTGAGGCACTCTTGCCTGGCACACTGACGCCCTGTTCGTCTACCTGGAATGCGTCGACAAACGACACGGGGCGCATTCCAGGTAGACGACGAATTCCACCATCTCCGTGAACTGCTGGTGGCCAGCACACAGACACGTGCAACAAGCCAAACCAACCTACACACACAAGACACACAAAGAGAGAGAAGTTGGTACATGCGTGAATGTGTGTGTATGTGTATGTGTACCTCTATTTCATGGTTACATCGCCCTCGCCCTTCCTCCACACCCCTCTGGATGGCCTCCAGGATGTCCGCGCGCGGAATGGTCGTAGACACCGGTGAAATACGTGGGGCAGAAGTGGAGCTCCAGTGCCGTCACGCCATCCCTGTAGCGGTCCTCGATAGCCTCGGCCGTCACCTCCTGCACGACCTCCGGCGTATCTGCAGTATTAGATGCATGAATGCAGGCAGGGAAAAGGCATGGAGACAGGCGCTCAGTCTGGGAGGTAATATATATCTGTTGGCATATGTAATGAGCTCGTGTATTTACCGAATATGGTCGATATGCGGCTGAGAGGAGCCTGGCAGTCGGGCTCGATCGTGTTGCGGACATCGGCGGTGAAGTAGTCCACCTGGCCCCTCTCGTTTTCCGGAAGAGGCAGCTCCTCCACGTCGGCAGGTGGAGCTGTCTCTTGCTCCTGCTCCTGCTGCAGCAGCAGCAGCTGCTGCAAATCAGAAGAGAAGAAACAAAAGCGAGATGTTTCTCACTATTTCCGTGGGCAATGTGCGGTGTTTATATGCACCTGTCTCTCGTCCTTGGCCTCCCAGTCTGCCCCAGGACGGTTGCGATGGAGCCAGGGCAGGCCCACGCTCCTCCAGCTGAATGTATGAAAGACAAAAGAGGCAAAGGGCACCAGAAAGCGACTTATTCAAGGATAAATGCAATGTGTGTCTCCCCGATTAGGGCGTTTGCGTGTGTTCCTGAGTCCTGAGCATACCTGGGCTCGTCTGTGTGCGCCATGGACCTGTGCACGACGGAAGAGAAAGCACATCGATGACATTCAGAACAATGCTACTCATGCAATGCTCAGACGTACCAGTTGATGTCCATTTCATTCTCGGCGTCCTGGCTGGCTCTCGGCTTCCGTGCCCTCCAACTGATCCTCCGAGTCGCTGCTCATCACCTAAGTCTTTGGGAGTCCTCTGAACCTGAAGTCACATACAATACATACGACGCAACGTGGGAATGCCGTCCATGAGAGAAGCTCTTCAATGGTGGCGTACCGCTCTCTGTCGTGTGCAGCGCCGGCCTCATCCGCCTGTGCAGGCTGAGCTCCTTCCTCCACTGCAATGCCGCCGTCTGGCGTCTCCTCTGCCCCCCGTTCCTCACCCTCTGTCGAGTCTAACATCGGTCCTCTGTCGTTTCCAAGCTATCTCCTTTGTTTATCTTTCGCCCTGTCTCAAAGCAGACACCTCTACCTTCGGAAGTTCTCTGAACCTGGAGATTTGAATTCACATACAATACATACGACGCAACGTGGGAATGCCCTCCATGAGAGAAGCTCTTCAATGGCGGCGTACCGCTCTCTGTCTTCCGCACCGCCGGCTTCACCTGCCTCTGCAGGCTGTGCTGCGTTCGCCATTGCAATGCCGCCCTCTGGCGGCTGGCCTCCCGCTGGCCCCCGTCTCTCCTCACCGATGTCGCTCATCACCTCTGTCGACACACTTTTTGTGTTTTTTTCACCCGTCTGATCACAATCATGGCCGGCAGCGTGCTGCTGAGGGTGAGGTTGGTCCCCTCGGCGTACAGCTGCCGCCATCCGGCGACCAGTGGCTCCGCGAGGCTGCAATGGACCGGAACGCCTCTCTCCCTGGCCCAGTCCACAGCGGCGGGCATCTCACGACAGCCTGTCAGCCGGTTGGGGCCGGTGGTGTTGAGCAGCTGCTCGACGTTGCCCGGCTGCGATGAGAGGCTCAAGGCAATCTTGACGCCGGCTGCACGTACCCGCTCCAGACGTGTCTGTGTGGACAAACAGTATCCATGAAGCGTCTTTTGTCTGTCATCCGTGGTCAACTGGTGGTGTCTATACCTTGTAGTGGTCCTCCAGAATGCGCGGGTCGTCGCCATCGCTGACAACCCCGAAGACACTGTCTCCCTTGCGAAGTTGCACTGGCCGTTGAATGCCGTCTCACAGACGTCGGGTTGCTGGCAGTAACGGCATGTGAGACAGCACACGAGCCCAACCTGAGAAGGCGAAGACACACACGGTGATCCATCCATCCAAGGCAGAACTACCAAGATAAACCTTGATGCAATGCGTACGTGCCTCCACTTTGTCGTCGCACCGCGCCTCCCCTTTGAAGTTGGAGTTGAGTGTGGCTGTGATTGTGAGTGGATAGAAACTCAGTTCCAGGGCCACCACCGACTGCCTGTGTCTGTCCTCGATGGCCTCCGCCACCACGCGCTCAAGCACCTCCACCGAGTCTGCACATATTCATGAATGTGTCACGCCACACAGAATGACATACACAATAGGACGCAAACCCAGGGCTGGTTCGTGTGTGTGTGTGTGTGTGGACTGTGCGCACCGAGTATCTTCGCGATGAGATCAAACACCTCCCTGATGGTCTCGGTTTCCCTGTTGGTTTCGGTGAAATACTTGTGCTGCTCGTCGTCGCCCTCTGGCAACGGCAGGCCTCGTTTCTTGTACTCTCTGTATGTACAACGAGGACAGACATGGAGAATCTCTCAATTGGTGCTGTATGATTGCTCTCACTCGATGGCCGTCTCAGGTCGAACGGCGCCCTCCAGCTGGCAATGGTCAGCCTTCGGTAAGTTCCTGTACCTGCATCGACGGACACAGATATCATTGCAGCGCAAAGCGTGTGGAAAGCATGCAGTGAGCGAGTGACTGAACGTACCAGTCGTCGCTGATGTCATATCTCCCAGCCCCTGCAACAGTGCCGCCCGAGGTGCCGCCGTCTGGCCTTGCCTCTGGCCCCCTTCGCTCACCCTCTGTGCCCTCCATGATCTCTTTGTCTTCTCTCACTTGTCTCAAATCAATCGCTCGCCCCCCAGCTTTCCCGGCGCCCTCCAGCTGGCAATGATCAGCCTTCGGTAACTTCTTGTACCTGCATCGACGGACACAGATATCAGTGCAGGTGATGTCATCTGTCACCCTTCCCAGATTCGTCGCCATGCTCCATGGCTGCAGGTGCTTTCAATGTCCACCTCATTTCAATCATTATGTCCATTAGAAAGCATCTGCTCTTGGAAGTCATAATGGAAGTCACAATGGAAGTCTCTTCATCAAAGCTCTTCATCGGCTCCTCCCGTCAAAACACTGTCTTCTTGTCCCTCGAGTGCGCAAAAAAAGGGCGGAAAACTGAGTGTCTCTAAATCTCGCCAAAATGGGGCCAGGGTGGGGGCTGAGGAGGCGGGGGGCGAGCTGATTGATTTGAGACAGGGCGAAAGACGACACCCAAAGAGGAGAGCTTTATCGTCTTATCCGTCGCGATGAACTCGACAGAGGCATTGCAGTCTGACCCCCACTGCAATGCCGCCGTGGCGGACGGAGCTGAGCCTCAGCCTGCAGAGGCGGATGAGGCCGGCGCTGCCCATGACAGAGAGCGGTACGCCGCTATTGGAGAGTTTCTTCATGGACGGCATTCCCACCTTGCGTCGTATGTATTGTATGTGAACAGGTTCAGGGGCATTCCGAAGATAGAGGTGTGCTGCGTCATCGAGGCCGCTGTGCGCCTCGAGCGCCTGGTGCGGGAGTACCAAAGACTCGGCTTGCAGCTGCCAGACGACGAGGAGGAAAGGCGCAGGTTCTTCACCGCCATGCTGCCCCAGGAGGACCCGGTCTACAGTCTCGCGCTGGCCTTCACTCGCACACAACAGATATTCGGTCCGTGACACACAACACACACAAAACAGACACACAGGCATGCATGTATGTGTGTATGTTTGTGTTTGTGTGTATGTGTACGTGTACGTGTGTGTCTGTATGCCGTCAATGGGTGCAGACAGCATGGAGGTGCTGAGAGAGGTGACGGCCGAGGTGGTGGAGGACCGGTACAGGGAGGAGAGTGTAGTCGCCCTCGAGCTGAGGTTCTGGCCGAAATTATTCACTCACATCTACGGCCACAGCTACGAGGAGGTCATGGGGGCAATCCAGCAGGGAGTGGAAGAGGGCCGACGGCGGTGTGATAGCGAAATAGAAGTACGTGCACAGCATTGACACACATACACATACATGGAAACATAAGTCCAGCATGTATGTGTGTATGTGTGTGTCTGTGCTGTATGCAGGTTGGTTTGATGGTCTGTGCCATCGCGGGGGGTGGCGAGGAGCAGTTCGTTGACACGATCAACTTCGCCGTCACGTACAAGGAGGCCGTCGTAGGCGTGGTCGTCGACGCCAGCGAGCCCGAGCTGCTGCAGTACCTGGTGCGTGCGTACACACGGACCTGCGTGAGAGGATTTTCTCCATTGTGTCTCCCTTGTACGCTCCCCTCTCGTCACAGCACCATTTGGATAGTGTCCACGCAGCTGGACTCAAGATATCGCTGAAGCTCGAGGAGCCCCGCGACGACGCCGCCTCAGTGCTATCCCAGATTCGCCCCAGCCGCATCTGCGACAGCACTGTCATCCACAACCCTGCCGCACTCGACATGATCCGCCAGAATCGCATCGCCCTCGAGCTAACACCGGCCGAGAGCGAGAGTGACCGGGAGTACGTCAAGTGGCTCTTTGACCACCAGTTCAGCATCTCAGTGAACTCAGAATTCCCGGTGGTGAGAGGGACCAGCCTCACGGCCCAATTCGAGCGGCTGGCGGCTGAGGAGGGCTGGACACTGGACCAGCTGGCAAGGATGAACTACCGTGCCATCGCTGGCTCCTTCCTGCCCGAGGAGGCCAAGCAGCGGGTCCGCCACCAATGGTTCCGCCACCGAGGCGACCACCAGCAGCAGCAGCCGGACGATGGGCAGCTGCCAGCCCCTGACCTTGACCGACACAGCGATGACGACCAGAGCGAACCACACGACAGTGACTGCCAGCAGGTGCCTCAGTCAGAGCCACCCTCGTATTCGTCAGCAGGTGGGCCGCCGTCTCCCATGCGGGATGCCCGAAGTCCCTCGCCGCCCCGCAGTCCGTCATCACCCAGAAGGCAGCCGCACAGCCGCCTGCAGGATCAGACGCCGCCACCGCACAGAGAGAACCACGGCAACCGTCAGCAGCTGGGTGGCGAAACGGGAGCTGGCAGTGTCGCCATCCCCAACATCACGCCCCCGAGAAGCCCCGGCCGTGATGAGGGTGACGGAGATGAAAACGAGAGTAGTCATGATGGCATCGGGGCTGGGGATGGGCGGGGAATGGAGAACGAGGGCTTCATTGATGATGACGAACTCGAGGAGGAAGGCGGCTATCGCACTCCCACCAACAACGTCATCATGCCCACAGCCAATGACGGGTTTAACGACCCATTCCAGACCCCACCCCAGTGTCAGCAGCCCCCCACCCCCACTCTTGCTGCCTTCGGTGCCGATGACGACGGCGACGACGAAGACGATGATGACGAGCAGGAGGAGGAGGCCAACGGAGTCGAGGGCGGCGAGTCCGAGAGTGAGGAGGAGGAGGAGGAGGAAGAGGATGACGATACCGCCGAAGAGGAGGACACTCGTCGTCTCGCCACAGCCGTGTACGGCTGCATCAGCAGCGAGATGGCTCGCATCGCACAGTGCGTTGTCCATTGTCTTGCCGCTGAACTGCTGCGCCGCTGCCTCAACGAGGCTGTCCAGCGGCAGTTGGAGCTGCACAAGGCTGCGCTGCTGGCCATGCAGCTGGGGGCTGCGGTGGGGCGACACGGTGGTGGTGGCGGTGGGAGGGAGGAGAATGAAGGGACGCAGGAGGCCGTTGAGGTGGACGATGTGCAGCTGACGGGGCAGAAGAGGCCATGCGACGGCAACGGGGACGAGCCCAGACACCGCCCGCTCAAGCGCCGCCGTCGGCACCACCACTCGCGCAGAGGCTGCAAGAGGAAGCGGCTGGACGGGCACATCGCAGGGCCCCCGCTGAAGAAGCAGCGTGTGGCTCCAGGTAGACATGGCGGGCAGATATTGACTTCATGTCTCTGATGGATGCGTTTGTCATGTGTCTTTTTGTCTTGGCATCTGTCAGTTGAGCGTGAGGAGGAGATGGGCGAGCCCAACGAGGTCAAGGGAGAGGAGGAGTAGCAGGACGAGCCAGGCCAGCAGCAGCAGGAGGGGCCAGACGAGCAGCAGCAGGAGAGGCCAGGCCAGCAGCGCCTCGAGGAGGATGCCGGCGGCGCCAACCCCATCGCGGAGGCCAACAGCCCCAAGCCCAGCAGTGGAAGGGAGGAGAACGGGAAGGTGGAGGAGGCCGAGAACGAGGCCATTGAGGTGGACGATGTGCAGCTGAGGGGGCAAAAGAGGCCGTGTGACGGCGACGCTGACGGGGACGAGCCCAGTCGCCGCCCGCTCAAGCGTCGCCGTCAGCACCACTCCCGCAGAGGCTGCAAGAGGAAGCGGCTGGACGGGCACATCGCAGGGCCGCCGCTGAAGAAGCAGCGTGTCGCGCCAGGTAGACATGGCGGCAGATACTGACTTCATGTCTCTGATGGATGCGTTTGTTGTGTGTCTTTTTGTCTTGGCATCTGTCAGTTGAGCGTGAGGAGGAGATGGGCGAGCCCAACGAGGTCAAGGAAGAGGAGGAGGAGCATCACGAGCCAGGCCAGGAGCAGCAGGAGGGACCAGGCCAGCCGCAGCTCGAGGAGGATGTCGCGCACGAGCCAGGCCAGCAGCAGCAGGAGGGGCCAGGCCAGCCGCAGCTCGAGGAGGATGCCGGCGGCGCCAATCCCATCGAGGAGCCCAACAACCCCAACCCCATCCCACCCGCACCGTCCAAGGCGAAGAAGCGCCGGAGGGAGGAGGAGGTCCTCAAGGAGGCCTTCAAGGGGTCGGGATACTGGAACAGGAGCAGCAGCAACGACAACGAGGAGGGCGGCGAGGCGAAGGGCCGTCCCCCGTATCGCCTTCGCAGGCGACACAAGTGATTTTTACGTGAGACGGAGACAGACAGATAGATAGAGGGAGGGGAGTGCATAGCTCGATTCTTTCAATTGCATTAGTTGGTTGGCGGCCACAAATGTAGAGGTAGCGAGAGAGTTTTGCATCCCCTGTCGGTTCCGTGGATGTCTAGATGGATGGATGGATGGATGAGGGGGCATTCTTCACACACCACACCACACCACACCATGCATTCGTCACCAGACAGGAAGGAGAGAAGAGAGATGGGCGGGTTCCTATCCCTGCCATTGTATTGGGTTGTGTGTGAAAGTATGACGTGTGTTCACTCTCAACTCACTATCTCTTCCATGTGCGTGTCTGTGTCTGATACCCATCGATGGCTGTCTGTGTGGGGATGTTTGTTGTTCGGTGGTGGCGGGGAGAAGCCCCCCGGGCACCCTCTTTCGCTGCGAGTAGGCCTCCCGCCAACAGGGAGGCCAAAACCAGCAAGGAGGGCATGTTTGTGTTTGCGCCTTGTCGATCTGTGAGCGTGTGTGTGTGTGTATGTGCAAAGGTGGACGGGCCGGGCAGGGGCAATGCAACGAATGCGTCAGCCAACAGAGCGATGGATGGATGGTGGGTTGTGATGCGAAGCTTTTCTTTCGGTTGTGTGTGGTTCGGCTGGGGATGCAGACACCTGTCTGCCTACCTGTCTGCCTGTCTGTCTGTCTGTCTGTAATCTTGATCGTGGAATGCTATGAAGATGGCTGGTCGGCTGGCTCGTGTGTTCGTTGCATGATGAAGAGGTGTGTGTCCAGTGGGGGTGTGTGCTGTGTTGTGTTCTGAGGGAGGGAGTGTGTTTGTGTGTGTCGGTCTCCTTCCTTTTGGGGCGTCGTGACTGTGTTGGTGTGTGTTTCCTTTTGTTGGTGGAAGGGAGACGGCCATGGGTGTACTCCTTTTTGGGAGAACACCCATCGTATGTGAGTGAGAGGGCTGGGAGTGAGCGGAGGATGCGAGCGATCTGAGGCGAGAACTCACAGCTTGGGGGCGTACTCCTGTCTGTACTTGTATGTCTGCATATACATACGTGTGTATGCCATGCACGCACAGGCGGGAGAACGCCCGCTCTCTCACTCACATTGGTGGTGGACCTGTCTGTCTGTCTGTCTGTCTCTATGCCTGCGCCTGGCCGTCTGTGTGAGGGGGTGGGGTGGGTCTTCGGTCGGTCTTCTTTTTGGGCCTCTGTGTGTGTGTGTGTGTGTGTGTTGTTTTGGGCATGGTCGGCGCCAAACAAGTGTGGCATGGTGGGGGGATTAGCTAGACGGCCACCCGAGAGGGAGAGAGAGTCGCAGGCACTCGTACGGACACGTACATATCTACACAAAAGGGGCGTACTCCTGTAAGCACATGTCTACGTATGTATGGCGTGCGCATCCGGGAGGATGCCCGCTCCCTCTCTCTCTCACCGTGGTGGGTGGACGTCTGTCGCTACCCCTTCCAGCCCACCAGCCCGGCTGGCTGTCTGTCGGTCTGTTTTGGACTGTCTGTCTGTCTGTCTGGGTGTCCGTCCTTGCGCTTCTTCGGTTGGTTGGCTGGCTGGCTGGCTGTGTGTGTGTGTGTGTGTGTGTGGATGCATATACACACATACAGACGAGACGCGATCGATGGATATATACCGATGAGACGCTTCGACAGACCGATCAAGTGCTGCTTGGATGAATATATACAAAACAAAAGAAAACAAAAGAGTGCCGTGCGTGTATGTTTGTCATACAGTCATTCATTATTCACACCCACCCACCCAGCCGGCCGCCGATGATTGAGTGACCACATCCATCCATCCAATGGCACTTACAGATGTAGGTCTGTCTCATTTCTTGCCCCCCTTGGCAGCCTGGACTGCATCAATCCTCCTCTGAAACTCGGCATCCTGCTTCTCCAGCCTGCTCTCAAAATCTGCCGTCAGTTTGGCCTGCCACGCCTGCAGGGAGGCCTCCACGCTCTCAGATGCACTCAGGCCGCTCTCCTGCAGCCACACACAGAGGGGCGGCCACATCCACAAGGCAGAGAGAGACACCACCTGACTGCATCCACGAGTGTCTGCTCACTCTCTTGTCAGCTGCTGGTGCCGGCACGTCTGTGGGGAAGTCCTCCACATTGGGAACCTGCGTCTCGGCCGCTGGTCGTTTGGCGAACACACCGACAGGAACTGACAGAGGGACAGACACACAGAGAGAGAGGGCCACGCAATCAGACTGAGCGAGCCATTTCATCCATCATACCTTTCAGCAGCGCCTTGATTGCTTCCACCTGCGCCTCGTCCGTGACCACATCCTTCTCCTCAAACGCCACCACAGGCGGCATTGCCGGCATGAGGCTCCTCGCAGGCACCACACGCACCTCCTCCCTCGTCACATACACATACTGATACAGCTTGAAGTGCCGAAAGAAAGTGTCCAGCACGTAGTTGGTGACGTCTTTGACGTCCTGGGTCGAGAAGACACCCACAGACCAGGGCGGCCGCTGCACGCTGTGCCGCAGCAGGAGGGCTTTGAACAGGTCAAAGGCGGCGTGGATGTCCAGCCGCGTCCTGACTGTCTGCCGAAAGAGATGCGCCATCAACGAGCAGAGGGCCGACTGTTTGCGGTCGCTGAAGCCGCTCTCCAGGCAGAAGAGATAGTTGTTGAGGTGAAAGTCGGACAGAATCTCCTTCCGAAACCCCTCCTCCGCCTCGACGTTGAAAACCCGGTCCAGCACATGCCTTGCATAGTCTCGTGTGCCCTTGCCTGCCATGGTGGCCAGGTCGGTCCTCGTCAGGTCCTTGAATGTGAAGAACTCCCCCTTGCTCAGCCCCAGCGCCGGCTGCGTTGTCTGCGGCATCCTGGCAATGCAGACTGAGCCACAAACTCGCCTGAACAGCGCAATGAACGGAAGGGCAACACGACCAACAGTGCAGAAAGATCAGCTGCCCTGAGATTGTTGCATGGTTTCCCTTGCCCTCTCTTGCGCGTCTCAGGGAGGGGGCGCCCCCATCATTAAAGCTCGCACGAAACGTCACTTGGCACGTCTTACAAGGCTCCTACTACCACTCAGCTTGTTGCTCTCCGCATCACGTAAGTATCCCAATCGGCTCTCTCCTCTTCACTTGTCCTCACCAAACTCGCCTCCCCTTTCCCTCGGCTCTGGTAGTCTTCCAGCGTCCCCAGCAACAGCAGGCGCTTCCCTCACCTCTTACCCGCTCTACTGGTCGGCCGTTGTGGCTCTTTGAAGACGGGCAGTTTCCTCATGGGATCGGCGTGCTGTCAGCCTGTCCCTGACAACTACTATCAGCGCTTCCGCGACGGTGCGGAGCGCACAGTGGACCCGGTGCGTCGGCAGGGCTACGGAGAGTGCATCCTTGACTTCTGCACACAGCACTGCAGCGAGCCGGAGCTGCTGATGCCCGAGGAAGACCCTTATACCAAGGCCAAGTCGCTCAAGACCCAGCCGAGCAGGCGGCTGACATCGACGCGCAAAGCGGCAAAGGACGACAGCACACCCAAGACCGTCGCCAATGAGGGCACTAAGCGGTTCTCGATGGACGCGCACCTGGGCCCTGCTGCAGCGGCCAAGTACGCGTCGATGTCGCCGGCGACTCAGTATTCGGTGTCGACGAAGGCGTCCACCAAGTCGAATCTGCAGATGCTCAACACAACCACGGCCACGCCACACTCCAAGATATTCGAGTGACGAGCGTCTGGGGGTGGCTTGTGGACGGGCCTTTGTTTTCTGGCCGTCCCGTCCTGTATACATGGCGGTTCTTTGCACATGATAGGAGTGGAGAGGAGTGAAGGGGCTAGAGGCAGGCCCGCCACCGTGCGTACGTGAGGCAGCCAGGCTGCCTGCCGACAGACAGATGAGGGAAATATTTGTTCAGTGTGATAGATAGACTTGACTGACTACAAAGACATCTCCCCCTGACCCACTTCCCACCCGCTTCCCTTCTTTTTTCGTGTGCGTACACACAAATACATCCACACACCCACACGCATATACAGCGATACATGCCTGCCTGCCTGCCCCTTTCTGTAGAGCTAGCTACCTGTTGCCTGTCACATGCTCCGTGCGTGTGTGCATGCCTTCACGTACTCCATGTGTTTGTGGGTGTGCGTGCGAATGTGCGTGTGAACGTGCGCAACTGCATGTGCCCTCCTGGCTTGTGGGCTCGCGAATAGCAGCTTGCTGGTCGGAAGGTTCATGCGGTGGATTGATTGATGGGTAAGGACGTGTAGAGAGTGAATTCACCTCTGGGTTTTCTCTTGTGGGGCGTCCGTCCCCTCCCTCTCTCGTGTCCGTCCTTGACTCAAGCAAGTGTCGCTCTACCCGTCTGGTCCTCTTGTCGACTGCAAGCATGCACGTGGGGGAGGATGGGGGAGGGTGGGAAAGGCAGGCGTGGGGGATGCATGTGTGTGTGGGGTTGTGACCACGTTGTCGACTCTTGACACACGATGTGCTGTTGTCAATCAAAGCGCTAATGTGACATCGGTCTACATGTGTCTAACACAATGGGCATTGCAAATGCCATGTGCGCCGGGGGGAGAAGTAGGCACCGGACACGAAAGGCTTGCAGATCTTTGCGAGCTGCGAAGGAGAAGATCAGGCGGCTGGAAGATCAGGCGCAGCAAATGAGATCCACGCAAGTAGCTAGCAAACAAGGATTCGCATCTGCGGAGGCTGCCGCACATCACCTGAGCAGTGAGCGAGCAAAGTGATAGTACAGAAACACGAGCAAGTGATTATGTCCATCTCCATCTCTCCTTCTCTCTTTCTCTTGGTGTGTGCAGATGGTTGATCGTGTCCTCCCGATAATGGACGGCAGTGATAGCGCCCCGGCTGACCCCGGAGGTGGTGACGCATCAAACCACACGGCGGATGCGACCCGCATGTGTGTCTGATGATGTGCTGCAGGTGGGCGTGGTGGGGGGTCGAGTGGCGATGGCAGTCTGCGCGATGTCATAGACCAAATCTATGCGGTGAGCGGAAAAGGGCAAAGGAGAGAAACCGCCAGCTTATGCCGCAGCTGCTGGTGGTTCTGCTGCTTTGTTCAGGTGAGCTGTCAGATGGCCGCGAGTAGTGAGGCGGCGAAGCTGAAGATATCACAAACCGACAAAAATGCAGAGGTCAGCACAGACACCCACGGAACCGCAAAGCAGCACCGATTTGTGTCCGTCTGTCTGTTTGCAGGCCTGTGCATCGCTGGCTGGCCGATTGTCCGCTGTGCTCAAGACCCTCACCGACGCCCAGTCAACCCTCGGTCGCGAGCTGACGCAGATCCCCAGCGAACAAGTAACACATGTAAGGATGAAACGACCAATAGACGACGCAAACAAAGCAGTCACGTTCTTGCGTGTCTGTGCATTTGTGTGGATGTCAGCGCAAGGATGGTGACCGCAAGGGCTTCCGGTGGCTGTACAACGTCAACGACCGTCGGGCGGCGGGCGTGTCTGAGAGTTCGGATGAGACCGACAAGGCGGCGCAACAGAGCAAAGCGGTATGCCCGAACACACTCACATACTCAATGCATCCACAGGCGGGCCGGCTCATGTGCTCAGGTGTCAACTGGCGATGGGAAGCGCTCGCGCGTCGGCACCAGCCAGGCAGCTGCCGCAGTTGCTGCAAGTAGTGGAGGTACGTACGACACCGCCCGCCCATCGATGGCTGCAAACATCGTGACGGTGATTGTGTGCTGTTGCTGCTTCCATTCAGGTGCCTCGGTCAGTGGACGTGGCGCCAGCCCAAAGGTGACACGCACACACACAAGATAAGACCATCTCCAGCGCACACCTACTTTTCCCACATGTATCTGTGTGTGTCAGGGCTATGGCCGTCCGTGTCTACCGGGTCTGCCCGAGGGCGTCATCGGCCACCTGGGGTCCTTCATGAGCACCATTGCGGCCGCGTCTCGTCTGACGAAGATCAACAAAGAGACCAGACAGAAGGCCATTGACGAGACCTTCGGCGCGTTCCGGCACTTCAGTATGACGAAGGACGAGGAGGCCAAATACCAGGCCATTCGCAAGCTGAGGGACGTCAAGCACCTGGTGAGATGGGGGTGCAGCGTCATCGGCAAAGCTGTGGCACGTGACATTCGTTGGTCTGGGGTGTGTGTGTGTGTGTGTGCAGGGCAAGATCCGGACGGCCTATGTGGAGGCGTCCGATCTGGTGCCGAGTGTGGTCGAGCTGCTGGAGAGGTCTGCAGAGACGCTCAAGGAGCTGCATGTTGCAGATGACAACTTACGGGGTGAGCACCCCTTAGCGCAGCGGCGACCCCCAGGGGATCCCTTCCCATTTCCCAAGCTGACCGACATACAAATGAAGTCACCCAAGTGGCTTGGCCACATCAGCAGGTCAGCACACAGAGGGGAGAAGGAGATGGGTTTTTGCACCCGCCTGTCATATCGTTCTGTTCGTCTGGTTGTCTGCAGCGTTCGTCGCTGGTGTCTGCCTGCCCTCAAGAGTCTTCGAGTCGGCCGTCTTTCCCAGTATAATGGGTCATCCGAGTCCCTCACGCGCCTCATCAAGGCATCGCCCAACATCGAGCGGCTCGAGTCCGAGATGATGGGTTTCGACGACACCCAGTGGGCCGACTTCACCGCTGCCCTCGGCCGCTGCCCCCACATTAAGGCCATCATCGGACTGCACATCGAGATGGATCAGCTCGGCCGTCTCAACCAGCTCAAGCAGGCCCTCAACCAACACTGGGCCAAAACAGAGAGGAGAGGTGACTTGACACATGTTGCTTGGGCACCGTGACCAAATCATTTCAATGACTGTCCTCCGTCATTGTCGGATGGTGCAGATGTGCCGAAGAGCTTGGGGTTCGTCGTGTTTGACCCGAACATCGGTGCGGATTGCAGACAGCGCGCGGCCGGCTTGGAGGGCATCAGCAAGTGGGCAGCAGAGGTGAGCTGTCGGCTGGAGTGGCGGCTATGGAGGTGGCTGGACCCGAGTGGCGGGGTGATCACGCGCCTGAGGGTGGACTGCAGCAGCGATGCTGGGACCGCTCACCCTGCACCTGGCGGCCTCTACGGCGAGATAGTAAAACAGCTGGCGGCTGAGGCGACGCAGGTGAGTGAGGCGGACCGTTTGAAAAAGACAAGACAAGGCTCTCTACGTGTGTCTGCCTGTATGTGAAGGTCTGGTTGCGACTCGGTGGCACACCAATCCACCCGTCATGGCGTGACAAGCTCGTCTTCACCAACGCGACATCCCTCTGGCTCCATACCAGGGGAGGCCCGAGTACCTCCGATGTGGTGGATAGCATCCCCGCATGGCTGGCTGAGAGGGATGGAGCGGGCCAGACGGCGATGAGCCGATCCTTCCCAGCTGTCGAGTTGCTAGATGTGAGTGTTGCCGACCTCTCCTTCTCTGACCTGCCCTCTCCCACGTCTAAGCTGAGCCGTCTTGTCGGGGGGCTGGCGGGGCTCGAGAGAGTCTTTTTCCGCGATTTGTCTAGCGCCTCAATGGCCTGTGAGCTGCTATCATATCTCTCTGTGCCACGCCTAAGTGAGGTTGAGATCGCTGCGCCCTTGTCTCGTGAGTGGCCAGCCAGCGTGCCGGCGGAGTGGAGCTTTCGCTCACCCCGTATAGAGCGCCTGGCGAGTGCACCTCCCGAGTTCGTCATAGACCAGTGGCATAACAAGGAAGATGCACAGCTGTTCCTGCAGTTGGTGGCGACACTGCGCCCAGCGCGTGTCGACTTCACTGCAACACTGGATCGGGATGACTTGGAGGGAGAGGGGGAGGGTGAGCAGGGAGACAATGCATCTGGGCTCCATGCAGCCCGTTCATTCGCGT